AAAAAAAAAAAAAAGTTTTTCAGCATTACAGTTGTGTTCGAACTTGATTATTCACGAACACAAGTTGTGCGTTCGAACTTGATTATTCACGAACACAAGTTGTGCTCGTGGAAGCTCAAACTAGGTGTCGGCAAAACGTTGCAGTCCTCGATCAATAACATATATTACACGATTTTTTGCTATGAACCCAACAGTTGGCTCCATAGTATATTTACTTGTTGTACATAGAAGGTTGACTTCACTATGGAACCAATTGTTGGCTTCATAGCAAACCCGATATCCTACATCCTACAAAAAAACATAAAACTTGCAGTAAACAAAAAAAATCGTAGTACCTGTACAGTAACAACACTTGTCAAACCGTAATGTGCCACACAATCATTAGAAAGTAGAACCACAAGCCAAATCTCATAACTTGCTCAAGATCAAAATGCAAGAACTTTGTTCAGTTTCACTGAACTCATGGTACAATATATGATAAGAATCATAAACCAAAAACCATCCCAAAAATCAGGTCAGCTCCAACCTCTAGCAGCTAAAAAACACACCAACAGAAGAAAAAAGCCATCCAACTAAATAGGACACTTCAATCAAAACTCAAATGGCTACTTACTCAACCAAGAACGTTTTATTTTTACTACTACTGTTAATTTAATCATCACATTTCTCGATCACAACGCCAACCGAACCTTCGACCTTACCCTCAACAACCCCTTCTTCCCCACCACCTTCATTCGAACAGTGATTCTTTAAAACCGTCGAGATATCCTCCTCCGAGGCCCCTGCCAGCTTAAACCTCTCGACAGCATCGTCAAGATTCTTCTTCCAACCGCTCAAACCCATCTTGCATTCAATCTGGGACCTCTCGAACAGCATGTTCCCCCAGAAAAGGTGAATCTGAGTCCTCATCACCGCCACCTGCTCAGCCGCCTCCTCCGGTGAGACCTCCGTGGGGCCCGTCCCCGTCCCTTCCCCTTGCTTCTTCCTCCTCTTTGAAATCTCCTCCTTTTTCGGCTCGTTTTTCTCCCTCTGCTCCTCGGCCCTCTCCCACATCTCGGTGGCCGCCTTCATTTTCTCCTCAGCACTGTCGAAAAGCCCGATTGTCTCGGCTGGGTCCCACACCGAAAGATCCAATTTTTTCGCCTGAACAAAAGACCAGTGGAGCTTCGCCATCTCGAACTGTTGCTGGCCGAGGGCAAGCAGGCCCTCGTAAAAATCGGGCTTTATCGCCAAAGCCTCCTCGTACTTTTCCCTAGCTAAGGTGTACTTTTCCTTCACCCAGTCATATGCGACCTGTAGTTGCCCATCCATAACTTCTTTCTGGGCCGATTCATCGATCGGCATTCGCTTGCGGGCCGCACACATGTGCACGTTCCCCCAGTTGAAAAAGGCCAGAGCGGCAACTTCTTGGAATTTCGAGGCCGCCTTGTCGAAAAGGGCCTGGGCTTCCTCGCTCGTGACTGTCTCCTCAAGGGCCTCCGAGCACTGCTCCATGCCAGCCTCATGGAGGTCAATATGGGCATCCGGGTCAACCCCAATGTGGGCCCGGAAGAGCTGCGCGAACTCGAAAAGCCAGTCGTCCATTTCAACCTCCTTACACTCATGCTCCTCTTTCTCCACCGTTTCCTTCTCGGGCTCGGGCTCGGGCTCGGGCTCCGCGGGTTTTTCTTCCTTTTCCTCTTCTTTTTCATCATCATCATCTTCTAATAAGGGCGGTTCTTGCTCGGGACCCACCTCTACTACGTGCAGCCTCAGCAAGCGAACAGAGTCCGATTTTTCAATGTCGGGGTCTTTCGAGGCAAAGCTGCTGTCGGCTGAAGACTCGGCCAGCCTGAGCTCGGTCGAGCACGTTATTGTGATCAGGTCANNACAGTCCTTGTACTTGATCAGCACAGATTTTGACATAGGGAATCGTTTCGCGACAACATCTCGCAGGATCTTGAAGCTGCAGTTGACGGGCATCTGAGCAAGCCTAATGTCATGATCGTATACGAGCTTCAGCTGTCTGTACCGTATCGTAGCCTGTTTGGGTTGCTCTTTGGAAGTCGAACGTTCCTTTGTGTCATCCTTTGTGGCGTTTGCCGAAGTAGGCCCATTTAAAGGCTTGAGAACGACTTTCGACAGCTGGGTTTTCTTCTCGGGCCCGTTTTCAACAGGTGGGATTGGATACAGCTTCTCGGACTTACTAGGCGGCACATTCGCTTGCTTCTTTGGGACGGGCCGGGCTGGAAGGCAAGGCCCGAGCCCAGCAATCGGCGCCCCTCGGACAGCAGAAGCCCCAAGGGCTGCAGGGGAAGGGCGGCTCGGGAGGTCCTGCTGGACGGGCCCCACAGCCATCCTCAGCCGACCGGCAATCTCAAGAGCATCACTGTGGTTAGGTTCGGCAATCAGCAAAGACTGCACGTCCTGCATAGCCAGTTCATACTTCCCAATCGCCTCGTAAGCCCGGGCCCGCCTGAGTAGGGCCCGAACGAAGAGCGGCTGGACCTGAAGCGCGAGATTGCATTCGGATATCACGGTCTCATAGTCGATGGGCTTCATCAGCATGAGGCAGGCAGCTCGATTGCTGTGGAAAACGGCCCT